CCCCTCAGTGTGCCGAGTGCTCACAGTGTACCATGATGGGCCCTATAAGATGTCACTCCCCCAGTGTGCTGTGTGCGCACAGCGTACCCCGATCAGCCCTATGGCTGTCACACTCCCAGAGTGCCATGTTCTCACAGTGTACCATGGGTCCTATGTCTGTCACCCCCTCAGTGTGCCATGTGCTACAGCTATAACACACCCCCAATGTGCCATGTGCTCACAGTGTACTCCGATGGGCCCTATGGCTATCAGACACTCCCCATGTGCGCCATGTGCTCACAGTGTACCCCAATGTGCCCTATTGCTGTGACACACACTCCAGTGTGCCGTGTGCTCACAGTGTACCCCGATGGGCCCTAAGGCTGTCACCCCTTCCCACTAGCATGCCGTGTGCTCACAGTGTACCCGGATGGGCCCTATGGCTGTCACCCCTCCCCCTCAGCGTGCCATGTGCTCACAGTGTATCCTGATGGGCCCTATGGTTTTCACCCCTCCTCCCCCAGCGTGCCGTGTGCTCACAGTGTACCCGGATGGGCCCTATGGCTGTCACCCCTCCTCCCCCAGTGTGCCGTGTGCTCACAGTGTATCCCGGTGGGCACTATGGCTGTCACCCCTCCTCCCCCAGTGTGCCGTGTGCTCACAGTGTATCCCGATGGGAACTATGGCTGTCAGACACTCCCCGTGTGCGCCATGTGCTCACAGTGTACCCCAATGTGCCCTATTGCTATGACACACACTCCAGCGTGCCGTGTGCTCACAGTGTATCCCGATGGGCTCTATGGCTGTCACTCCTCCTCCCCCAGCGTGCCGTGTGCTCACAGTGTACCCCAATGTGCCCTATTGCTATGACACACACTCCAGCGTGCCGTGTGCTCACAGTGTATCGCAATGGGCCCTATGGCTGTCACCCCTCCCTCCCCAGCATGCCGTGTGCTCACAGTGTATCCCGATGGGCCCTATGTCTGTCACCCCTCCTCCCCCAGCGTGCCGTGTGCTCACAGTGTATCGCAATGGGCCCTATGGCTGTCACCCCTCCTCCCCCAGCGTGCCGTGTGCTCACAGTGTATCGCAATGGGCCCTATGGCTGTCACCCCTCCTCCCCCAGCGTGCCGTGTGCTCACAGTGTATCGCAATGGGCCCTATGGCTGTCACCCCTCCTCCCCCAGCGTGCCGTGTGCTCACAGTGTATCGCAATGGGCCCTATGGCTGTCACCCCTCCTCCCCCAGCGTGCCGTGTGCTCACAGTGTATCGCAATGGGCCCTATGGCTGTCACCCCTCCTCCCCCAGCGTGCCGTGTGCTCACAGTGTATCGCAATGGGCCCTATGGCTGTCACCCCTCCTCCCCCAGCGTGCCGTGTGCTCACAGTGTATCGCAATGGGCCCTATGGCTGTCACCCCTCCTCCCCCAGCGTGCCGTGTGCTCACAGTGTATCGCAATGGGCCCTATGGCTGTCACCCCTCCTCCCCCAGCGTGCCGTGTGCTCACAGTGTATCGCAATGGGCCCTATGGCTGTCACCCCTCCTCCCCCAGCGTGCCGTGTGCTCACAGTGTATCGCAATGGGCCCTATGGCTGTCACCCCTCCTCCCCCAGCGTGCCGTGTGCTCACAGTGTATCGCAATGGGCCCTATGGCTGTCACCCCTCCTCCCCCAGCGTGCCGTGTGCTCACAGTGTATCGCAATGGGCCCTATGGCTGTCACCCCTCCTCCCCCAGCGTGCCGTGTGCTCACAGTGTATCGCAATGGGCCCTATGGCTGTCACCCCTCCTCCCCCAGCGTGCCGTGTGCTCACAGTGTATCGCAATGGGCCCTATGGCTGTCACCCCTCCTCCCCCAGCGTGCCGTGTGCTCACAGTGTATCGCAATGGGCCCTATGGCTGTCACCCCTCCTCCCCCAGCGTGCCGTGTGCTCACAGTGTATCGCAATGGGCCCTATGGCTGTCACCCCTCCTCCCCCAGCGTGCCGTGTGCTCACAGTGTATCGCAATGGGCCCTATGGCTGTCACCCCTCCTCCCCCAGCGTGCCGTGTGCTCACAGTGTATCGCAATGGGCCCTATGGCTGTCACCCCTCCTCCCCCAGCGTGCCGTGTGCTCACAGTGTATCGCAATGGGCCCTATGGCTGTCACCCCTCCTCCCCCAGCGTGCCGTGTGCTCACAGTGTATCGCAATGGGCCCTATGGCTGTCACCCCTCCTCCCCCAGCGTGCCGTGTGCTCACAGTGTATCGCAATGACCGACCGTGGGAGAAGGAGAGAGACTCGGGAGAAATTGTGCGGAGCTGGAAGAGCCTGGAGTGGTCATCAAGTCTAGTTCCCCTGCCCACTGGCAGGGCCGAGTAACGTAGACCATCCCTGTGAGGTGTCTGCCCAGCCTGGTCTTAGAAACCTCCCCTGGAGGCGTGTTCCAGAGCTTTTTAAAGACCCTTAGTAGTTACAAAGTTTCCTAATATGTAATCGAAAATCTTCCTTGCTGTCCGTTATTTGTCTCACATACAACTGTCGACTTTGAGAATACAGCTGATCACAGTCTTCCTTGAATAGTAGTAGAGAGGTAGCCGTGTTAGTCTGATCTTGCTAAAACAAAAGGAAAAACTATGTAGCACTTTAAAGACTAACAGGATGGTTTAATAGATGATGAGCTTTTGTGGGCCAGACCCACTTTCTCAGATTGTAGTCCTCTTTGAAACCACCCTTAACCTATTAGAAGACATATTAATGCATCTGACAAAGTGGTTTTGAACCCATGAAAATGTATGCCTGAATAAATCTTTAAGGTGCCACAAGATTCCTCATTGTTTTTGCAGATACAGAGTCACACAGCTATCTGCTGAGACATATTAGAAGACAGTTATCAGATCCTCACCCAGGTCATCTTTTCATCAGATGAAACTTGCCCAGTTTTTACTTTTTCTTCTGAGGTCAGGCTTTTTAAACCTTTTATTTTTTAGGTTCCTCTCCTATGACCTCCAGTGTGTCATTATTACTAAATGTGGCTGAGATACAGTACTCCACCTTTCAGAGCTTAATTTTAATTAAGGAGGTGTTAAAGCTTAAGCAATTAGGTGAGACTCTCACAATTTTTTTTACCTTCAAAACAGATGCACCAAGCCCAGAGATGCTGGGACTATGAACTGCCAAGCCTAGAGATGCCAGTGTTCAGCCCCGGCAAGTCCTGGCACAAATTAAGCCTCGCACAAGTGTCAAGTAGAATAGGCCAATTACCTCCTGTGTCTCAGTCTATGTCTATGCTTAAGGTACAGTGGCTCAGCTACAGCTGCATTTCTAGACACCACAGCCATGCGCAGTGGGTGAACCTAAAGCTAGGGGAGGTGAGCTTTCCAGCCACTTCTCAAGGCCCCATAGGACCAAGCTTCCCACTGTCGTTGTAGGCCTCCAGCCCACCTAAGTTCCCTATAAGCTACATTGCCACGCAGCTATCTTTTTAGCCCCATGCAGGGTGGAAACCTGCAGCAGTTGGTGAAGGGCTGATCCACCCCACCTGCCTTCCAACTTGCTGCAGCCAGGGCTGCCTGGCACTGGCACAGATTCTGCCTTGGGCAGTTGTGGCCCAACTGTGCCACAACTGGAGTGACATAGCCCAGTTCCAGCCCAATCCTGCAGTGGCTGGGGTGACCAGACACTGCTGCAGACAAGACAGCCCAGTCCTGGCCCAGTTATGCCACAGCTGGAGCAGCACAGACAGACAAGCTCCAGCCCAACTCTGTAGTGGCTGGGGCCCAGCTCTGGCTCCCTTCCTCCTCCTCTGCTGCAGCAACACAATCCTAGACGACCCCACTCATCCACCACAGCCCAAACCCACACCTACGACAGCCCAAACCTCCACTCCCACTGTGGCTAGAGTGGCCTCAAGCTTCCCAATAAGTTTTCCAATAAGTTTTTGGAATGGATTACTTTTTAAATGGATATGTGGATAAAGTCCCCCATTATTATTACTGGGGGGGAGCGCTCTGGGAGCAGGAGTAAGGTTGCCACCTTTTCGAGACTGGATGCCGTTGCCACAAATAGTGTCTGGTTGGCAACCTCAGACAGGAGCTGGGCAAGGAGGAAGGCTCACCTGAAGACTCAGGGGAGCAGGCAGGTGGAAGTGAGCAGCGGAAGTGAAGGCCACAGGATTCAAGAGAAGCCAGCCAGAGAGAAGCAGCAGTTTAAAGGGGAAACTGCTGCTTTCCTTCAGCTGCTGTCTGTGTGGCTGCCCCTGCTCCTCAGTCCTCTGAACTGTGCTCCCACCGCTTGCTGCTTCCCAGTGAGTGCAGGCTTGGTGCAGTCCATGGAGGTGGTGACAGCCAGGGGATGGGGCTGGCAACAGGAACTGGAGCAGAGCTCATAGGAATCAAGGCCAGCTGGGGGGATAGGGTTCGGACCCACCAGAATATATATGCAGCACTCAGCTGCATGGGCATCATGAAATTTGGGGCAATTTGGTGCCCCAAATTCTTGGTACCCCATGCAGCTGCATATTTGCATATATCACATCCTCCTGGACATCACAGTAACTGTATATATTCTTGATTTATAGTGTATCATCTCCTGCCTTTTTGTCCTCTGGGTCCTTCCTGACCAAACTGTATCCCCAATACCCGTATTTCAGCCATGAGACTTGTCCCACCAAGATGGCAAAGATGCATTGTGCTTTGTAAGAGCCTGTTACTGGATCATGATTGACTGCTACTGGCAAACAGACCAGGCCATGAAAAGCTGAACAATGTGTATACCCTAGTTTTGAGCAGAACCTACCTAGGTCTGACAGATTCCCTAGGGTTTTTTATAGTTTGGCAATATTTACCTATTTTGTTCTTCTTCCTTGAATTGATTGTGTTAACAGTATGATCATTCTAACATAACATAACAAAACAGATTAAACAGTCAAAAGATTTGAAAAAGTTTGTTGAAAGCAGGAGCTATCCATGAGAACAACTGCAAGAACATTTTCAGATGCAAAGGTCTGATGATATAGAAAGTGCAAAATGTTGTCCTTTCACCTTTCCTTTTGTTAACTGCATGTTTAAGTGACTTCCTTTTGGGACTGTCTCAGCATAAGAAGTGTGCCAAAGCATTACATCTCTTGTCTTTGAGGAGCTAAATGGAATGAAATAAAGTAATTATAATCTAGTATGGGGGTGAAAATCATCAGCACCATAAAGTGAGACTGCATCGTGTTCTTTAGTGTGCCAAACAAAAGGCCCTTAAACAAATTTGAAAAAATAATTAAACAAGATTAAGTGCTAGATTGGACTGAACGAGATTGTTCTGCAGGACATATAATCAGTAACAAAGGATTTCCCCAAAAAGAGTCCTTACAGAAGCCACAAATGAGTGGTCCACTCAGAATGCTATTTGAGGATATTACTGCATGGCACTGGGCGGATTGACAAGAAGAGCTTTTAGGACTGCAAAGAAGTTGTCACTGAAACACTTAAACTGAAATATTTTCAGACTAGCTGGAGTTACCCGGCATTGCTCGGTCCTGCTCCCCGCCAGCCATTTTGCTTCCCCCGCCACCCCTGCTTCCTGCCAGCCTGTTCTCCTCCTCCCGATCTCCCCTCCCCTGGCCTGCTGTCCCTGACCCTCCCCCCTGCCTGCCCTATTTCCCGTCCCTTCCCCCCTCCTGGCCAGCCCTGATTCCTGCCAGCCTCTTCTCCTCCTCCCGATCTCCCCCGGCCACCCCCCCTCTCC